GTTGCATCTACACTGTATCTGGAAATCAGGCACCAGGTGTCAAAAAAAAAAAAAGGCTTTTTAAACTCGGAAAACAAAACACCTTCTAAAAATAACTCCTTACCCTCTCCCCCATCAAAACCAGAGATGGGTGACAGTTGTCAGAGTGCTGTCAGTCACAGCTGCCTTTCACAGCTCCATCTTCATCACGAGGCAGGCAGAGCGTGACTGAATAAATTCTTCTTCAAGTACATTTGATCCTTTCAGCAACAAGTTCACAGAAGAATCATGTCTTCCATTTTTGGTGGTTATTTTGGAATATTTTTAGTTACCATACTGATCCATTAAACATGTTTAAAGGGTAAATTAGAGGCACAAAAGAAATCATGTTTTCTTCAGAAGCCATTATTTCCACTCATTTAAGTGAACAACTGCTGTTAAGCATTATACAAATAGGATCTTGCTGGGAAAGATTTTAATGCAATTTTCCCTGTTGCAGCCTTCACCTCCTGAACTGGTTTGGTTGTGCTGCTTAGGGTTCCATTACATGTAGGCAAGATGACCCACGCGAGGCCAACCTTAGTCCCAGACCCCTCTATTTCACGGGCTACAGAGGGCTTCAGTGATACCTTTTGTAATGCATCTGATAAGAGATGAGTTGCAGTCTGCCTGATTCCTTTTCCTGCCCATTGGAAAAGCTAGGCAATACAGAAAGCGTTACAAATAGCCATTGCGCTGTTTAATGAGATTCAGGTCATCTGGAATTAGAGGCCACAAACCCCAAATGATTTTTCCTGCCCACTGACCGGGCAGAATTTGGCACTACTTCTCTCACCACTGTTGTTCTTATAACTAACAGGTTTCCCAAAAGTGTCTGCCAAGATTAGCCTTGATGTAATTCCAGCAACTTCACCAGAGGAATATTTAGCTCTGTCCTTATTCACCCTTGTCCATTTTTCAACTTTCCAGAATCCTTCTATGAACAGTGATTTGCCTTTGATTCCTGGGATGCCAAACCAAGACTTGTCTGTGGTCAGACGCGCAATTCCAAGGTAAGAATGGTGGGAAGGCAGACAGTGCTTGTTCTGCACACCATCTGCAAGTCTCAGCTCAGTGGCCCCTACAGAAAATGTGACCGAACAGCTCACCCTTCTCATTCACTGCTCCACGGATACTTCCAACACCACAGACTATGGTTACCAAGCAATAGCTCCATTGCGCATTTTACATCATTGTACCACGAGCACATCATCTTCCAGGTAAGCACTTTTCCAAATACAAAGCTCTTCAAACTACACACATAAAAAGACAACAGCTAAAGACGGAGTAAAAGGAAAGTTGTAGCAACGAAATACTTTTTGTACAAAACTCAGTAAAACACTACCCACTGTCTGGCTCCTAGGGCACTTCATGATTGTGGTACTTTCTAGCCGTAATTACTCTCTACAACAAGAGCCATTGAAATCCGTCAAGGTTGGTTTTAGAAAGATCTTGTGCTTTATAGCCAATGTATGTTAATAGAAATAGTTGATCCTACGACCTCACAGATGTCTGCAACTGTAACAGCTGATATAATTTTCTTTTTCAGGCAGGTTCTTTTTCTTGGAGCATACAACGCTCTACTTTCACTAACTCTAGGGATACCGATACTACCTGTGAGAATGGTTCACAAACATTTCAGCTGTCAGCTAGGTGCTCCTTGATGCTGACAAGCCAGGAGCAGAGGCAAGACTGCTCTTCCCCTGTGAGCTATGGAGCGTGCAGTTCCACAGGGGAGGCAAATCCTAGCACTGTCTTCTCTCAAGTAAAGCTATCCCTGACACTTTGTGGTCTCCAATTAAGAATCTTAACAAAGCTTTTCATCTCATATTCAGTGTAGTTTGTAACATGCTGTAATACCCCTCAAGCTCTACTACCCACTGCATTGCTAGAAGGCAAGAGTTGGACATAACATTGTGTGGTTTGTGCTCATTCCTTCCCCACTTATTCTTGCAAAAAGCATACTTTCAAGGGGATAAGCACTTAAAAGGATGGGAAAATGTTTGTCAATGAGCACTTTACCTCTAGCCAGAACAGCAGAGCAATACCTGAGGGTACCATATTTCCAAATTCTGTAGAGGTATCAGTTATATTCCCATTTTTCCACATTATATCCTGCACTAAAAGCAGATGAATTACGAGGATTTTTATTTTTAAAGCCAAAATGGAAGGCTGGATGAGTTGTCAGTAAAAAAATGCTATTTTAATCAAATTGAAGGCATCTCAGTGAAATAGATTTACTTCTAGTGCAAATCCACTCTGCAGAACTACAAATCTAAATTGGCACAACTCAGAAGGCAAAATTACCCTCCAAGTAAGCAGCACACCAGTTTTGATGCACTTATGTTACTTAGAGCCACTTACATGAAAAACTTAATCGCCACTAGACAAACCTGGAAGAAAATTGTAGCTCAAACTAATTTGACAGAACACTGAAGCATTATTGAAAGGTGACTTTCACAGAGCCTTTTGAAAGCTTGCAGCAGGAAACTTTGTATGGATATAAAAAGAAAATGGTGGAATACAGGTTTTCTATAGAAATTTACTAACGCAAAGCACTCAGAGTATCTTCTCTCCTTAATAATACTAGGAAGCCAATTTTACATTTTGATAGTTGTGTTTTTTGTTTTTTTTTTTTTTAAAAAGTCCTCCAGAACTTAATCTATGTTGCAAGAACTCTTGATGGGTCGCCCAAAGCACTGATTGCACATCTTGTTAGACGCACTGTTTTGAAAGAGCTCCATATCTTCTACTAGACAACCCCAGTGAAGTGTCTCGGTCTTCTCATTGCAGCTCTAGCCTCAGAAAATTACCTGCAATTTCTCTCAATCTAAAAAATTCCTTGCTATGTACAGTCAATCCAGGTTTAGCTCCACTGCACAGCATTGAAAACAAAAGATTTTAAAAATAAAATAATGAAGTGGTCTGAGGGAAGGAGTCTTGGATTTCAGTTGCATCATGAAGTCTAAGTCTCCCTTACCTGCCTTTCTTTCTCATGCTGAAAAGTTCTGCGGTTTTCTCTAATGGGAAAACTAGATGTGGGAATGAAGTGTTGAAACACTAAAAAAGTAGATGAAGGCAATGTAATTCAGGTAAGGAAAATCTCTCCAGCTTCTGTTCTGACAGAATCAATAAAGGAAATCCAAAAACAAACTCGCAGACAGAATTCAGTTTCTTGGGCTGCAACACAGTCTCATAATACAGATATAATATCACATCTTTCAGGATTTCACTCAATTCACCAAAAGAATGAAGATTCAGTGGCAGCCTATGATATGGAAGAATCACACTCGGGTGCCTTCACTAGTGAACAACAATCCTGGATTTAAAAAAAGTTCTCATTTAAAGGAGTGTTGAAAAGTACTCAAACACTTGGAGAGAATGATGGCAGTGGTGTTCACTTGTGTATCTCAAATATAGGGCTCTGAAGAGAAGGAATCTGAGACACTGTATTTTGACTAGGCTTCCTTATGCTTCAGAATTAATTACAATATGCAGTTTTAGAAATTACATTAGAAATATTTGATCTGTTTCCACCAAAAGAGCCCTCAGGCTTTTTTTTTCATGGAATTCCATCCCTGGGTTCTTCCTACCTCCACAAAACAATTAACAGTACATACCTAGACACGCTTGTCAGAGGGATTGGCCAAACCTCTGCTGGTCCTTGAGGGCTTTTAACATGGCATGAACTGCACTGGGCAGCAGCACTGCAGACACTGAAGAGATTTTATTCAATTGTGAAAACAAGCCAAATAAACTTGGATCAATTCTGAAAGAACAAGCCATGGTGCTCGTCAAAAGCAGGTAGTAACCAGCAGGACTGCATTTAATTCTAAAGCCTGGTCTTCAAATAGGCTTTAGTTTTGCTATCTACACATCCTTGATACTGAATTATTTGTAACATGCAAAAAACCCCAACCAAACAAAACAAACCACCCATGCAAACCCGATTAGAGAATGGAGTATCTCTCTCATTCCTTATTGTCTGTAGTAGAAAATTCATCTAGGACAAAATAATGAAGCAAAAATATAATGAGGATTCAATACTTGGAAGGAATTGAGGTCACAGAAGATACAGAAGGTTAGCGCAATTAGGTCAGGACAACTCAACTGTTAGCAAGTCTTGGTAAAGACTCATATTTTGTATGAGAAGTTGGACACAGACTCAGATCTCTTCCTCCTTAATCTTCTGGTTACACAAGCCTCACTGTCAGATTTATGGTTGCACTGGCATCTCTGATAGTTGCTTGCTGTGTGCTAATTCTTTTTTCAGCTGAAGATACCAAAAAGAAGAAAGCGAAGGTGTTGAGATCATGTAGTCAAATACGACATCACATAATATTCCTAAGATGATAAAGATGTTGCTAAAGCAGAAAGCTCCTCTTCAATCTTCAACCATGCCATAACCCATTTTTTACTGAGGGCTGGAAAACTCACTTAACTCCTACAAAGCAAGGGCTCCAAAAAAGCAGAAATGTTGTCTGTCAGCTGGTGAGCAAGAACTCCATGCTGGGTGGGATGAGCTGCACAGCTCAAAATACACAAAATACTTTGGAGATACCAATCCAAGAATGGCAAGAACTGTCCTTGTATATATTTGCAGCACATCTCAACTCCCGTGGTCACCCAAATAATCCACTGAGTGGGAACATCTCCACACACTCTACCATGCCACCAGGGTAGTATGTCAAGGCTTACTGTTTGTTGTAGAAAACCACGTATATTCAACCACAGGCAGCATCTAGTTGGTCCATTCTCTGATGCACAGGTCTTCTTGAACCAGCAACTGTAAACACTGCCATTCCTCAGGCCATTTTTTTCCTCACTGACATTTTTGAGGAACAAACCAATTCCTTCTGGGCTTTGTGGTCAAACTGCTTACCACCTTAATGCAGCACGAAAGTTGCAAGCTGGGCATTTAAGATCTATGACTAACCATACACAATTCGACTCCAGTAACAGACACCATAAAGGAAACACAATCAACTTTCAAAAAACTAATTTTAATCAAAACAAAAAAATTGTTGATCATTAACAAGTTTATAAAACAGTGACTTAGTTACATAAATAAATTGATATCAGTGTATCAAATCTTAATTACTTTAAACTTCATGAGCATGTTTACATGGGTGATGAAGTACAACCTTTTTACCTATTATAATAAATAAAATGGAGAGCATGAAATAGTTTTTCTAAACAAAAATACCTACAAACATACATCTAGCATGTTCTCTAATGAAGGGAACAAGAGACACTGGACAACTTTTGCACCAAAACATAAAAACTGCTTTAAAAAGCACAAGGATACAGAACCATCAGCTAAAGTAAAGACACTATACTGTAACCAAAGTTGGTATTTAATAATATAATGAACAGTTTGGTAGTTAGATCTCCAGTTTGGTTATTTTAAAGCATTAAGACAAGGCAAGATAGAAGGCTGCTTTTGTTTGAGTAATTCTAGAGAAAATAAAATATATTAAAAAAACAAACTGAAAAGTAGAACAGTCATACCTACACAACTTTGTCCTGCACAAAGTCAAAATACCTATGCAGAATATATATATATAATATATATATGTTATTTGTGCACAAAGGTTAGCTTATTATTAGCTCACTGCAAAGGCGTAATGTATCATGTCAATCATTTTGGAAAACATTTTGCGTTTTGTGTCAAAAAGGATATTTCTTTAAGTCTTCTAGGCTAGGAGGCACAAACCCCAACTCTGGCATACTGTATTCTTAATGCTAAGGCTTGCTGCTCTGGCTGTGTATTTTTTGTTGTCCCTCTTTACTATAGTGCCTGTTACAAGCATGTGTGTATGTGTGTATACATATACATGTATACACGGGTTGTATAAATATATATATATAAAATTTTCCCCAATAGGTATCAGTCCAACCATGCAATCCAAAAGGTGGCTCTGCATAGATGCCCAGCATATAGTTCACCACCTGAGCCAACCCTGAAGCAAGGCGCACTTTAGTCCTTCTGATAGTTTTTTTTTTTTGTTTAAAACCAAGCTACTGCGGCTTCAAGTATTTTGCATTACATAGAATTTTTTATAAATTAGTTAATGTTATATTTTTCAATATTCAGACATATACTATAATATATATACAGTACAATAAATGCTCTCATTCTTTTTTTAATTTTTTTGATAAATCCCTGAGAATGTATGTTGACAGTCGCTAAGTTTCCACATGCACAAGCATTGTGTGCCATGCTTCTGGATGAACAGCACTGCAAAGCCACGTGGTCAGCCTTTTAACTATTAGTATTTCATTTGTTGGTTTGTTTAAATATGCTGAAATGTAAGGATGAGTTACAGAGGAGTAAAGCTGAATCCATTCGAGGTACTTATCACAGGATGGAGGTGTTTTGTTTGGTTTTTAAAGCCATTACAATATATGTTTGTTTTTGAGGCTGTGAACATATACAGAAAGAACAGGAGAGCGATGTGGGCTTTTGCCACTTGACAACATATACTCAGTGTAAACCAAACCTTTTTTAACCTCTCTCTCATACAAAACAGAAAAAGAAAAAAAAACACACACAAACTTTCACAACATGACAGTTTAGTTTGCAAACTCAATATAACTATACACATATAATACCGGTGTGGCTCTGTTTCTTTAAGTTAAAAAGGATACAAAGGCAGGCTCAAGTAAAAACAAACCACCCTTCCCACCCCCCATCCCCCCCATTCACACATTTTCATCAACCAAACCGCTCACGAACCAGCATCATCAGTTTCTTTTTGCCTTTGTAGATTTGTTTTAGGTTGTCAATGAACTGTGTAAACTGGATGTGACCATCATGAGCCATTAAGAAGGTCTCTCGGGCCTTGCTGAGGAACTCTATAAACTCACTATAGTGTCGTGGGCTGATGTGAGTGAGACGTGAATGAGTCGTATTAATGTAGGCTCCGATCGTGGCATCCAAGAGTTGCCGTAAAGGGGCTTTGTCCAGTGACATAAGCTTACCAGAGTTCCTCCTTCCATGAAGTCCCACCATGCCAGGAGTGGTCAAAGTACACCTACGCAAAATGTCTGACAGTACTGTTGCACATTTGACACTTTTGACCACCAGAGGTATTATAGCTGCTAGCTCATTTTTCCCAAGGGAGTGGCTGAGCGCACAGGCCCACAGAACGTCATTAATGGCAGGGTGTGTGTCCTGATTGTAACTCAGGTTGAGATGTGTCATGGCCAAAGTGGCCAGCTTGTAGGCCCGCATGGGGTAACCACGGTGCTCCATGTATCGTGCTATAGTAAAAAGCTGCGAGTAGCTCATGCCAGTTGTAGCAGCATCTAGAACGATTTGGTAAGCCGTCTCAAAAGCTATGTGATCCTTTTCACATAAGGTCAGCGCTGAGAGGGCACAGTTTTGAGGATCCTTCATGGCACACTGTAGAGCAAGCGTCCTAGCACTGCCAGCCAACTTCTCCTGCTGATGGCAGTCCAGATGCAGACGGACAATGGTGCTATTGGACATCACTGTTGTAGCAACAATACTAGTGGCTTCTGTTGGAGTGAAAAGTGTAAACCAGTTTTGCATGATACTATCTAGTGCATAAACACCTAGGGAGAGAAAAAAAGGATTAGCCACAACTGATAAAACCTAGCAGATACAGATGTTCATCAAGAGATGACATTTGCAGCAACATCTAAGAGGTTGCCAGTACATCCAACGAGATGTGTTTCAGCAAGAACGGCTAAACCAGATAGCATGGCTGGAAAAGGACATTAAGGCAAACTCTGTAGTAACTCCCAAAATGCAAAGAATAACAAAAAAAAGCCTGCAAGATAAGCTTTAATCTCCTGGTGTGACAACTGAGCTGTTTTACTTGTTATTTAAGACAATCTGGATAACAACTCCTGGCTCATTTGGTCTCATCACATCACTCAAACGCAGCACTCGTGATGAACACTTCTAAAAGGCAATTTTAACTTATTTTCTCACTACGCATCTCAAGGCACAGTGCATGCACAAAAGACTATGAAAGTAAGCCACATAGCTTTCTTAATAGAACATCATGGCACATCTTAACAGGACACACTAAGCATACGTTAAAAAAAGAAATCCTAACCCCCACCTGCTCCCAATAGGCCTTTCAGACATACCTTGTATCAAATTTATAGGTGCCTGAACATCAAGATCCTTATTAGTGAAATACTCTGAGCAATATGAACTACTGGATATTATCTGAAATAGGTATTTTCCTTAGTATCACTTTATTCCTGGTATGTGTGTGTTTGGCAGGGGGAGGAACAGGGAAACAGTGACTAATGGGTTCTATAAATTGAACCTTATAGCCAACTAGAGTGCTTTATTATTGCTAAAGGCAGCTTACACACACCTGTGAGCCCGCCTAAACCACACACAGAGGTCCTCATTTTCTCTGTAGGACTCTGATGCTTCCTGTGCACCCCTTCACTCATGTGCAACAAACCAGCATAGCCAGAGAATACCAGATCTTCACCTAAATAAACAGATTCCTTGCTTTACCAACTTGATTAAGTCTCAAGAGGACTTTGCATGACATTATACATTCTTTATGGGACACTTTCATTAGAATATGTACACTAATTTAAAGTGGTATTACACCCAGCATTTTATTTGCCGATATGCAACTGCAAAAAATAATACCCAGGCACTAATATCTGTAAGATTGCCAAGATAATTATTACTGAGGCTAACATATGAAAACAATAAAACAAGAGCATTGCACGAAAATTTGCAGACACAAAACACTTTCTGGCTGAGGGCATACAAAGACAAGCTGTATTTTCCCATGCTACGGACAACATTAATTTCCCAGTTAAGCATAAAGCAAAGAATAAACTAACTGAGAGAATAAGCAGCAATCCTCTGAAGTTCTGAAACTCAAGAAGCATCTATGCTATACAATTCAACTCAGATGTATGAAAAAGGAATAAAAGGAAGACACGGGAAACTACAGGCCGGTCAGTCTCACCTCTGTGCCTGGCAAGACCATGGAGCAAATCCTCCTGGAATCTATGCTAAGGCACATGGAAAACAAGCAAGTGGTTGGTGACAACCAACATGGCTTTACCAAGAGAAAATCACGCCTCATGAATCTGGTGGCCTTCTATGACACGGCCACAGCGCTGGTGGACAAAGGAAGGGCAACTGACATCATCTACCTGGACTTGTGCAAAGCCTTTGACACAGTCCCATATTATGTCCTCGTCTCTAAGCTGGAGGGACATGGATTTGACAGAAGGACCACTCGCTGGATAAGGAATTGGCCAGATGGCTGCACTCAAAGAGTTGAGGTCAATGGCTCAATGTCCAAGTGGAGACCAGTGACAAGTGGCATTCCTCAGGGGTCGGTATTTGGACCGGCGTTGTTTAACATCTTTATCAGAGACATGGACAGTGCGATTGAGTGCACCCTCAGAAAGTTGCTGATGACACCAAGCTGTGTGATGTG